AGGGACCTCTAGAGATCATCCAGTCCAACCCATCATGGTTGGAAGGAACCTCTAGAGATCATCCAGTCCAACCCATCATGGTTGGGAGGAACCTCTGGAGATCATCCAGTCCAACCCATCATGGTTGGGAGGGACCTCTGGAGATCATCCAGTCCAACCCCATCATGAAGGCTGGAAGGGACCTCTAGAGATCATCCAGTCCAACCCCATCATGAACGTTGGGAGGGACCTCTAGAGATCATCCAGTCCAACCCCATCATGGTTGGAAGGAACCTCTAGAGATCATCCAGTCCAACCCATCATGGTTGGGAGGAACCTCTGGAGATCATCCAGTCCAACCCATCATGTTTGGATGGGACCTCTAGAGATCATCCAGTCCAACCCCATCATGGTTGGAAGGAACCTCTAGAGATCATCCAGTCCAACCCATCATGGTTGGAGATCATCAAGTCCAACCCATCATGGTTGGGAGGAACCTCTGGAGATCATCCAGTCCAACCCCATCATGAAGGCTGGAAGGGACCTCTAGAGATCACTGGCCACTGCTGAGAAGAGCTTGTCCGCATCCTCCCTCCATTCCCCCTTCATGAGCTTATCCACGTTGATCAGGTCCCCTCTCAGCCTCCCCTTCTCCAAGCTGAACAGACCCAACTCATCTCTCCTCATAGGAGAGATGCTCCAGTCCCTTCAACATCATGGTTGCCCTCCATTGGACCTTCTCTAGAAGTTCCACGTCCTCCTTATCCTGGGGAGCCCAGAACTGCCCCCAATGCTCTAGGTTGGACCTCCCCAGAGCGGAGCAGAGGGGCAGGATCCCTCCCTTGACCTGCTGGCAACGTCCCCCTGATGCAGCCAGGAGCCCATTGGCCACGAGGCTGCCTCAAGGTTGACTCGGTGTCAACCAGGTCGCTCTCCGTGGAGCTGCTCTCCAGCAGGTCGGCCCCGATCCGTGCCGGTGCCCGGGGTTCTTCCTGCGCGCCGTGCCCACCGAGCCAGGTGTTCATCTTGGTGGAGCTGCAGTGCTCCAGCTGGGGCAGGATGGAGACGTCGGTGTCCGTCTTGGGCTCCTCCTTGGTGAATTCCTGGCGGGACGGGGCGGGAGGTGAGCGGGGGAAGGCGGCCGCTCCGCCTGTAGCTCCCGCTCCGCCTGTAGCTCCCGCCTCACCTCGATGGTGCGGTGCAGGGGGTCCACGACTTGCCAGACGAACAGCGTCACCACGTCCAGCCCCACCAGCAGCCCCACGGTGGCGTAGAGCTTCCAGGGCTCCAGGGTCTTGGCGTGGGGAGACCCCAGGTCAGCGCGGCCCCGCGGCGCCCCCCGCTACACCCCGCGCCCCGGCGGGGGGTTGTCCTTCACCTTGCGCTTCTCCTTCTTCTCCTCCTTCTTGGTGAAGACCGTGTGGACCCACCAGATCTTGGTGAACATGCTGCCGTAGGCCAGGCTGAAGCCCAGGCCGAGCAGCCAGAGCCGGGCCTGCCGAGGACACCGCGGGAGGGTGACGGCTCTGCGCCGCGCTCTGCTCCGCTTGTACCTCCTCCGGGTGTTCCCGTCACCCGGAGGTTAGGTCCACCCACAACCATCACCCCTTGGTCATGTTCTGTTGGGCTGTGCCCATGCTGTGGTCCCCTGCTTCGGTTGTCCTCCCCGCTTTGGCTGTAGTCCCCACTCCGGTTGTACCCCCCGCTTCGGTTGTACCCCCTCCAGGTGTTCCCGTCTCCCCGAGCCATCACCCCTTGGTTATGTTCTGTTGGGCTGTGCCCATGCTGTGGTCCCCGCTTCGGTTGTACTCCCCGCTTCGGTTGTACTCCCCGCTTCGGTTGTACCCCTCGCGGCGGTACCGCTACCCCCCTCCGGCTCTCACCTGACAGACGAACGGGAACAGCCCTGGTCCGATGTGGTACCCGTCCAGGCCCAGCGGGAATACAGCCGCGAGCGCCAGCGTACAGCCCACCGCCGTCATGTTGTTCAGGTACGGCTGTGAGTTCTGGATGTACCTGGGGCCGCCAGCGGTGACTCAACACCCTTCCTCAACACCCTTCAATGACTCAACACCCTTCGATGACTCAACACCCTTCAGTGACTCAACACCATTGGGTGACTCAACACCCTTCAGTGACTCAACACCCTTGGGTGACTCAACACCCTTCAGTGACTCAACACCCTTCAGTGACACAACACCATTGGGTGACTCAACACCCTTCAGTGACACAACACCATTGGGTGACTCAACACCCTTCCTCAACACCCTTCAGTGACTCGATACCATTTGGTGACTCAACACCCTTGGGTGACTCAACACCCTTCCCCAAACACCCTTCCCCAACCACCGGGAAGGTGGCTGGAGGGAGGACTGGCCGCAACAGGCGGCGGCCGGCGGTGCGGGAGCCGGCGGGGTGGGGAACGCGCTCACCGCACGTGCCCGTTGTAGATGTTGAAGGCCAGGCAGATGATGGCCAGCAGGATGCCCAGCGAGGCCAACACCGAGACGGAGATGAAGAGCTTCTGCGACAGGAACCGGAACGTGGTGATGACCTTGGTGTAGTCGGCCGGTGGGGCGCCCCCTGTGGAGCCCACGGGCGCGTTTAGGGGGCTCGGGGGGCGCCCCCCGACTGTAGGGCCCCTCCGTCACCCCACAACCCCCTCTCACCGATCCACTTGTCGTTGTTGTACCACGACAGGTTGTCCTTGGTGCTGTCGTAGTAGCCGATCTTCTTGTAGACGCCGCCTGTGCGGGAAGCGGGTCAGGCGGGAGGGCCGCGCGTCACCCCGCCGGCCTACAGCGTTTCGGCCCTGCGGCTGTCCCGTTGTCCCGACGCCGTCGCCCGCGCTCACCCTGCAGCTGCTCGATGAGGGTCCAGGCCATGCGGGAACCGCTGGCGTCGAAGACAACGTGACCCTGCGGGGTGGCACGGGGACGGGTGTCACGTCCCCACCGTGGGTCCCGCACACCCGAAACGGGAGGTTTTTAGGGAGCACGGGCAACGCACCGAGACGCCCTCGAAGGCGGAGGAGTTGAGCGCGCGGTAGATCTCGTCGGTGATGTTCTTGTTGTTGTAGTTGAAGTCCTCCAGGCGCAGGCCCTTCTTGACCAGCTCGGCCGAGGTCTTGTTGAGGGCCAGCGCCAGGGCCCAGATGGCGTCGTAGGCCAGCGGCGCCTCCTGGAAGCCGCCCGTCTCCTCGGGGTTCTTGCCCAGCCGCTTCTGCAGCTTCTCAATGAACTCCTGGGAGGTCTACGGGGAGGACGAGGTCACCCGCGGCTCGGGGGTCTCCTACCGCCGGAGCTCTCCCGCGGCCCTACCATGTTGGAGATGCTGCGGGTGTTCTCGGGGTTGAGCATGACGATCTCGGTGGTGACGTGGCCCTCCACGGCCTCGGCCATCTCTGCCTCGGTGCAGTTGATGGCCGGGTCCTTGATGCGGAACCAGTTGTCCGCGTACCAGCCGATGAGGAACCAGACGTACTTCTTGCCGTAGAGCTTCTCCTTGTAGACCTGGGGGGAAGGGGAGCGAGATGGTGAGACGGTGTCTGTCCATCCGTCCACCCATCATCCATCCATCATCCATCCATCTATCCATCCATCCAACCAACCGTCCATCCATCCATCCATCCATCCATCCTTCCTCCATCCATCCACCCTCCATCCATCCTCCATCTGTCCATCCATCCATTCAACCATCCATCCATCATCCATCCACCTATCATCCATCCATCCATCCAACCATCCACCCACCATCCATCCAACCATCCATCATCCATCCATCCATCCATCCATCCATCCTCCATCCATCCATTCA